TGGACTGGATTTCGTCTACTTTTGTTATTCCAAAAGTTTTGAATCACCAGTGAGCCCTGGGTGACGGGGAGATCACCTCCCTTGTGAAGCGAGTGAAACTAGCTGTTGCTGGGTTACCAATATTTCAAATTTCAAAACTTTTGAACCTCCCTTTTTCAAATGTATACGAAAGCTTTAAAGTAGCGTTCGACAGGCTAACACTAACCCTTCATCATCTAGAGCGTTAAAGCCGAGTGACACCAAATCACGGGCTGACCGTGGAAAAAAACCCAAAGTCAAAACAGCCGCAATGATTCCGCGGAAGGGCTTGCCTGCCTATGGAACAGAGCCCACTTCACGGGGAATTGCGGTGGGATTGGTTGGCTCTGACAGGGGGGGGAAGACGGGGAGAGTGGTTCGTGATGCCGTTGCCACGTTTCCCATTTATGGCGTGGGGGACCATTCCGCCCAAACCTATTCGGCGGGTTCCGCCCCCGGTTCCTGATTCCGTTGCTATACCGATCCCTAGAAATCCAAACCACCTGACGGGGGAAGGGCGGGCCAAAGGCGGAAGCAGCACTCGGATCCTCTGCTTCGACCGGGATTCATTTTTTTTGGCGAAACTCCATTTTGCCCGTGGCGAGACGATTTTACTGGGATTTGACTCGGATTCGGCGCAAAAGGGTGTTGGATCTTACAAAATCCAAACCACCTGATGGCGCAACGAAATGGGCGCAAGAGTGGTTACACTACCGGTTTGGATTATCGACGGTCGCACGAAAGCGACGTCGCAACCACTGTTGTACTGTATTTGTAGATAAACTTTGTTGTTGACACTTTGGTGTAATTCTGACAAGCAGAATGTCAAAATGGCTAAGTCAACATTCTATATGGTTTGGCTCATAACTCCATAATTTGTTGGTCATTTGCACACAAACATGGATTTCCAGCATCTCCTTGATGTCCTCTACCAGCGGGCATGAGTTTGTTATTTTGTCAAATTTGTTCCATTTTGTTACTTTTGGGTCAACTAAGATTGCTCATAGCACATGTAAAGTCATTCTCTGGGCATCACACACATGTGTTATGTGGTGACCATTTTTTTTAGCATTTTTAGTGTTATGACACCTGTTCCAGCCCCCCTGAACATTTTCAGCTATATGCAAACTGATTTGGTGGACTTTTTCTTGCAAGGAAGTTAGTGTTGAGTTGCCTGCTGTGATGTGTCTGGTGAAATCACCCACTTCTCCTTGGGCAAATGAGCCCATTTTGATAGGTCACTGTCATAACACCTAGTCCTGATCCCTATCCAGTTTTCACTTCATTTCATCAAGGTTTGCCATGCCTTTCATGTTATATTCTGTAGGCGGGTGCAGAAATCTGTACAGAAATGCCTGGATTTAGGTTTCAATTGAAATCACCCACTTCTCCTTGAGAAAATGAGCTGATTTTTATAGGGGACTCTCACCACACATATTCCAGACCCCCACATGAAATTCACTTCATTTACCCAAGGTTTGATATGTGTTTTACGGTAAGCCTTGTTGTGCAGCAGTCTGCAGAATTCTATGCAGAATTGCCTGGAATCAGGTTTCAATTGAAATCACCCATTTCTCCTTGAGCAAATGAGCTGATTTTTATAGGGGACTCTCACCGCACATATTCCAGACCCCCAAATGAAATTCAGTTTATTTACCCAAGGTTTGATATGTGTTTTAAGCCTTGTTGTGCAGCAGTCTGCAGAATTCTATGCAGAATTGCCTGGAATCAGGTTTCATTTAAAATCACCCACTTCTCCTTGAGCAAATGAGCTGATTTTTATAGGGGACTCTCACCACACATATTACAGACCCCCACCTGAAATTCACCTCATTTACCCGAGGTTTGTTAGGTTTTTAAAGCCTTGTTGTGAAGCAGTCTGCAGAATTCTGTGCAGAATTGCCTGGAATCAGGTTTCAATTGTAATCACCCACTTCTCCTTGAGAAAATGAGCTGAGTTTTATAGGGAACTCTCACCACACATATTCCAGACCCGCACTTGAAATTCACCTCATTTACCCAAGGTTTGATAGGTTTTTTAAGCCTTGTTGTGCAGCAGTCTGCAGAATTCTGTGCAGAATTGCCTGGAATCAGGTTTCAATTGAAATCACCCAATTCTCCTTGAGAAAATGAGCTGATTTTTAAAGGGGACTCTTAACACACATATTCCAGACCTCCACTTGAAATTCATCTCATTTACCCAAGGTTTGATATGTTTTTAAAGCCTTGTTGTGCAGCAGTCTGCAGAATTCTGTGCAGAATTGCCTAGAATCAGGTTTCAATTGAAAACACTCACTTTTTCTTGAGAAAATGAGCCGATGTTTATAGGGGACTCTAAACACCCATACTCCAGACCCCCACATGAAATTCATCTCATTTGCCCAAGGTTTGATATGTGTTTTAAGCCTTGCTGTGCAGCAGTCTGCAGAATTCTGTGCAGAATTGCCTGGAATCAGGTTTCATTTGAAATCACCCACTTCTCCTTGAGAAAATGAGCTGATTTTCATAGGGGACTCTCACCACAGATATTCCAGACCCCCACCTGAAATTCACCTCATTTACCCAAGGTTGGATATGTTTTTTAAGCCTTGTTGTGCAGCAGTCTGCAGAATTCTGTGCAGAATTTCCTGGAATCAGGTTTCAATAGAAATCACCCACTTCGCCTTGAGCAAATGAGCTGATTTTTATAGGGGACTCTCACCTCACATATGCAAGACTCCCACCTGAAATGCATCTCATTTACCGAAGGTTTGATATGTTTTTTAAGCCTTGTTGTTCACCAGTCTGCAGAATTCTGTGCGGAATTGCCTGGAATCAGGTTTCATTTGAAATCACCCACTTCGCCTAGAGCAAATGAGCTGATTTTTATAGGGGACTCTCACCTCACATATTCAAGACCCCCACCTGAAATTCATCTCATTTACCCAAGGTTTGATATGTTTTTTAAGCCTTGTTGTGCACCAGTCTGCAGCATTATGGGCAGAATTGCCTGGAATCAGGTTTCATTTGAAATGACCCACTTCTCCTTGAGCAAATGAGCTGATTTTTATAGGGGACTCTCACCACACATATTCCAGACCCCCACCTAAAATTCACCTCATTTCGTAGACGTGTAGTATGTGTTTCACTCTCTCCTCTGCAGGCGGGAGCAGATCACTTTGGTGAAATGTACAACATTTGTTTTGTATTCAAATGCCACTGTTATACGGGTGCTAATGATAGGGCACTCATCTCACACTTATAGGATTACCCGTTATAGAATTGGGTGTGCTAATCATGCAAAGTTCATGCTTGTGTTTGTTTTATGGGTTACAAAAACTAGTACTATACGTGCTACACGAGTACCCCTATAGCGGTACTCTCGGATATAGGGTGTCATTCGGTTTCTGACACGTGTGACAGGTCGCAGAGACAGCTCTATTTCCAGGTTGCGGAGGGAACCATGCGGATGGCATAGCTATACGTGGCAGCCTGTCATTAACCTGTCACAGGACACCATTCTTTTTTTTTAGGGGCTGCCCGTCACCATTTCGTACTAGGTCGAGGCAAAGCTGAGACCATGCAATGCACCGCAGAACATGCAATATGCTAACATGGCATATAAGGTTGGCAATCAACCAACCAGCAACTGAAGTAAAACATTTAGGAGAACAATCTGGCGACAAATAGGTAAATCATTGCAGAAGTATGCAAAGAATAGTTCGCAGATGTTCGAAGGGAAATGGTGAGAAGCCTAATATTTTGAGCCAGGGGGCAGAAAATTCTTACTACGCCTGGCGTTTGTAGCAAAGCCTTTCCCACCTTCTTTGAGGACAGAGCACAACCAATTCTACCAACGAAGCAGAAGTTGGGATCAGGGTGGGTGCACCAAAGCTCAACGTCATTCTCGCCATTCCAATCTGAGTCGAGGTTCCACAACTAGCCTCACAAGCTTCCCTCTCATTCTAGTGTCGGCCTCTAATCCTGCAGGCGGACAGTGTATGGTAGTAACCGTTTAGCTACCTGCCATCTTCTGGCATACATACGCGATGTCGTCCCAGCTAATCACAGACGGCTGCGGATTGTCGGTACGACTAGGGCGGGAGTCTTATGAAAGGTTAATCGCTCGTCAGGAAGAGTGGAACGAGGCGTTGTTACTTTTCGGCCTTGTGTATGTATCCAAGCGCGGTTTGTAACGCACGCTGACTTCATCGTCATGTTGAACCCTTGTTTTTTTGGACAGGCACCTGCTATCTTCTTTCCTCTGCGACATGTCGGCTTGGATGCAGGGAGGTTGCCAAGGACAAGATTGGGGATCCTCGCGTTCGCAGGGACATAAAGATTCTGGCTCCTACCGAGCATCGGCGTTTGAGGTCTGCCGTCCCGCGTGTCCCCAGTTGTGGCAGCGAACATCGGTCGCTGTTGGACTACTAGATGGTTTTAATACCCATGATATCAGAGTGAGTTTCCTGACATGGATCCTAAACGTTTGTCGATGACACCAGCTATCTTGCTAATCCAAACTTCCATGTACCGCAGAGTCCCTGTTGTTCACTCGACGGCGATCAGTCTCATGGTGCTGATGAACCCGCAAGATTTGTTAGCACATCCCCGCGGAGAGTACCGTACGCGTCTGCTACACTTCGACCCTAAATCTGCAATCCCAACCCATCGCCACAGCGAGCATGCCAAGGAGGTGTTCGAGTAAGTATCACTCCTTAATCAGATGTGCGGTTTGTATGGACGTATGTTATTGATTATTTGCGACCCCCTTGCCCTGCAGCTGGCTTATCCGACAACTAGATGTGGAATACAGCCGAGGTCGCAGAGTCTCTGGCAGCCACGCCGAAGCGGTGCAGAAAGATTTGAGGGCTCGCCTAGATGATCTGATTCTGGAGGAAGGCAGGGTAAGGAAGGAGGCTCTATTTTTATGATTTAAGCGTTGTATGGTAATAAGCTTGTAAAAAGTAACGGGAGTGTCTGACAACCACCTTTTCACGCACATGTTGCAGATCAATAAGGTTCAGGGACAGAGGCAAGTGGGTTCCGGGCTGCACGTTACCCATGTGTTCAGCAAGTTGCTGGACAAATGGGGGGATGTCATGGCGATTCAGTCTGTAGAGCCGATGATGGTCTTAGGGAAGGGGAAAAACAGCGCGAAAGAAATTCGGAGTATGCTGGAGTCGACCTGCAGGGCCTTCTTCGACCTACAAGGAGTCCAGCTCCGTCCCGCCCCGGATGCAGTCATGACGACCCACTGTGCTCGAGTGGTAGAGAGCGCACCCGCACAGAACAGATCCGAAGCGGTAGAGGGACAGATAGACGTACCTGCCGCAAACCGGGACGCAAATCCAAGAGTTGGGTTTATTTCATATTCCCGCCGACCTGCACCGGGGGATGCACTACTGAGTGGCCCGACATCAAGGTCAGCCACTGCGGAGGAGCGTGATAGGTCTGGAGTTAGGCAGCTCAGGTTTGCTGATCGGGTTAGGAGGCCGCGGGAACGCGAAGCACGGACGGAGACCGACTTGGCAAGTGTAGCAGATGAAGGCGAGGAGGGTGTAGAAGATCCACAGCTGCCAAGTCAGGTCGAACAGGCAGAGGAGCAGTGGAGGAAGGCGGCGGATGAAAAGCGGATGGGCGAAGCAGAAGCCAAGAGTAGACGGGCTGAAGAGATGCAACGGCGCAGTGATGGCGACGCCGATCCTACCGTCTCTTTCCCGGGAACCGGAGACATACGTGAAGCATGGGAGCGTGGGGCACGAGCCGCTGCAAGGGCACACGTGGGAGAGGCAGGAGAGGAGCTCGCCAGCAATGTGCGGCAGCATATCGAGGAGGATAGGGGATACGTGAAAGTTCGCTTGCCCAGCCTAAAGCGGAAGGCGGCTGAAGAGGCCCGGAGAGGGGACGTCGACGTGCCAGAGAATTCGGGAGAGGCGAAAAAGAAGGAGGAGAGCAACGCTGGTGCTAAGGCTCATAAGATGGTGGAGGTAGAGGCGCACCAGAATGCAGAGGATGCGGCCCATCGGTTCGTCGATGCAGATGCGGCACTTACGGCAGAGGACGGGGCGCCAAAGGAAGCAGAGTCTGCAGCGCAGCAGAAGGTGGGTGCAGAGGCGGTCAAGGGTGCGGAGGCAGTCGCGCGTAAAGAAGCGGGTGCAGCAGCAGAGCTGACGTCGGAGGCAGTCGAGCTGATGGTAGTGGAGGCAGTGGCGCAGAAGGAATCAGAGGCAATGGCGAGCCAGAAGGATGAGGCAGCGGCGCAGCAGAATGATGAGGCAGACGCACATAAGGAATCAGCGGCAGCAGCGCAGCAGAAGGATGAGGGTGCGGCGCCCAGGATGGTTGAGGCAGAGGCGCAGAAGGAATCAGAGGCAGCGGCGCAGCAGAAGGAGGAGGGTGCGGCGCCGAAGATGGTTGAGGCAGAGGCGCAGAAGGCATCAGAGGCAGCGGCGCTGCAGAAGGAGGAGGGTGCGGCGCCGAAGATGGTTGAGGCAGAGGCGCAGAAGGCATCTGAGGCAGCGGCGCTGCAGAAGGAGGAGGGTGCGGCGCCGAACATGGTTGAGGCAGAGGCAGCGGCGCTGCAGAAGGAGGAGGGTGCGGCGCCGAACATGGTTGAGGCAGAGGCGCAGAAGGAATCAGAGGCAGCGGCGAGGGAGAAGGATAAGGCAGCGGCGCTGCATATGGAGGAGGCAGACGCACATAAGGAAGGAGAGGCTCGGAATAAGGCAGAAGCAGCGGCGCGGCAGAAGGCGGAGGCAGAGGAGCAGAAACAGGCTGCGGAAGAGGCACTACAACTGGCTCGGGCAGAAGCGCGGAAGAAGGTTGTTGTAGAGGCGCAGAAGAAGGCGGAGGGTGAGGCGCAGAAGATGGCAGAGGCCGAGGAGCAGAAGCAGGCTGAGGCAGACGCACGTAGGAAGCCAGATGGAGAGGACGGTTCAGATGGGAATAAAATGGTACAGACAGAGGGACGGGAGACGGCGGGTGCTGAGGGGCACATCATCGCAGAGGAAGAGGGGCAGCATAACGAGGAGGCAGCGTCGCAGATATTCGCATACCGAGAGACGCAGAGCATGGCAGAGACAGGGCGTCAAAATACTATGGAGGTTCGTGTCGTCCCGGAGGCTGGAGTGGGGCACTACGAGGGAGATGCGCTGGAAACAGAAGAGGAGCAGAATGAGGAGGATACGGTACATCCGGCAGTCCGGATATTTTTGGGAGGAAGTCCGACGCGGGGACCAGGAACCGGGGTAGAGGGGCCATGGAGGGTGGCAGACGATGGGGCGCCTAGGGATACAGTGGATCTCAACAGGCAGAGGCGGCCCACCCTTCACCAGAGAGCAGTGGAGAGGAATCTCGGCCAAGGCGGGGTGGCAGAAGCGTTTTGGCAGGTAGAGTGGGTCGAGGCAGAGACGGCAATACGGCGGATGCTGCATCGGACGAGTACAGTCCTGGTCGAACAAGGTGACAGGTTCGTCGAGGCCGAAAGCTGGGACATAAGCCCGGCAGAGGTAACGCGTCGTCTGACGCTCTTAGCCCGAATGGTGACGCAGGCGTTCTGCAACTTGGCGGCCCGCAACAGCAGCATCAGTCGCGACGTGGCCGATCTGACCGTCCATTACTGTCGCGACGCCCTGGCCAACCTGGAAGAAGTCCGCCATGGAAACGAGGAACGGCGGCGCCAAGCTGAAACGGCGGCCAGGTTTCGCGAGGAGGTGGACACGAGACTCTCCAACTTGCAGGAGAGTATCGTAAGGATGAGTGATCAGGTTCGCCAGTCGGGAGGGGGGATGGCGGAGGGCACGTTAAAGAGGGTGGAAGAGAGGTTGAGAGAGGTTCTGAGAGAAGACTCTGAGCGGCGGAACAGGGATAGACTGCAGGACGAGGAGCGGAGGCAGAAGGCCACGAGGAAGGAAGCAGACACCGCAGAGAGACGGAAGAAGGAACAACAGCAGGAGGAAGCGCGTCGGCAGAAGGAGATGAGAGAGGGAATGAAGGAGATGAAGGAGGCGATGATGAAGGAGATGAAGGCAGAAATGAAGGAGATGAAGGATGGGATGGTAAACCAGATTGTGGGGAGGTTGAGCGCGGTTTTGCGAGAAGAATTCGAGCGGCAGAAGAAGGAGAGGCAAGTGGACGTGGAGCGGCGACAACAGCAGGACGCGAAGAGGAAACAAGTGGCGGACGACGAGGAGAGACACAAGAGGAAACAACTGGACGAGCAATGGCGGAAGGAGGAGGAGGTGAAGAGGAAGAATGTAGAGGCCACAGAGCGGCGGAGGAAGAACAAACATCAGGAGGAAGAGCGACGGCAGAAGGAGGTGGAGGCGGGAATGAAGGAAGTGATGGAGGCTGTGAAGGAAATGAAGACGGGGATTAAGGGGTGGAAGGAGGGGATGCTAAGTGAGGTGGAAAAGCGGCTGTCAATGGTTCTGAGATTGGACGCAGAGCGGCGGCAAAAGGAGGAGCAGGGTAGGAAGGCAACGGAGGGAGATCGGCGACAGAAGGAGGATGCGCAGAGGAAGGAGGCAGAGGAAGCAGAGCGGGTGGAGAGGGAGAAACAGCAAGAGATGGCGCTCCTGTAGAAGGAGGAGGCGCAGCGGAAAGATGCAGAGGAGGCCGAGAGGCAGGAGAGGGAGAAACAGCAGGAGATGGCGCGCCTGCAGGAGGAGGAGAGGCAGAGGAAGGAGGCTGAGGAGGTAGAGCGGCGTCAGAGGGCGAAACAGCAGGAATTGGACCGCCTGCAGAAGGAGGAGACGCAGAAGAAGGAGGCAGAGGAGGCCGAGCGGCAGCAGCGGGCGAATCAGCAGGAGATGGAGCGCCTGCAGAAGGAGGAAGCGCATAAGAAGGAGGTAGAGGAGGCCGAGCGGCAGCAGAGGGCGAAACAGCAGGAGATGGAGCGCCTGCAGAAGGAGGAAGCGCAGAAGAAGGAGGCAGAGGAGGCCGAGCGGCAGCAGAGGGCGAAACAGCAGGAGATGGAGCGCCTGCAGAAGGAGGAAGCGCAGAAGAAGGAGGCAGAAGAGGCCGAGCGGCAGCAGAGGGCGAAACAGCAGGAGATGGAGCGCCTGCAGAAGGCGGAGCAGTGCCGAGCAGAGAAGAGGGCCAGACTTGCATCCTACGCGGAACAGCAGCGGCAACTGGAGGCAAAGGCAAAGGCGATGGCTGAAGAGACGGAACGATTGGCAAGGGAGATGGAAGAGGAGGATTTGACCATGCAGGGGGAGGGGACCTGGACAGGAGCCGAGGAGGAAATAGCTGAGGGGCTGGGGAGTTTGCTGTTGATTGAGAGCGGGGAGGCGAATGTAGCAGAGGGCGTGGCTAGTGTTCCTGTACGGAATGTAGAGGTGTCCAGGAGGCGGCCTAGACAAGAGGACAGGGAGCCGGAGGGTCATGCGGCTAAGAGACGGCGTGCAGCTGGAATACAGGAGTTGATACCCATAATCCAAGGGGAAAAGAAAGGGATGAAGATCGACAAGTGTGACAACAGGAAAAACGCCGCAGTGGACGACAAGGGTAAGACTTTGGGTGTCTGCCTGCCGTTCCGGGGAAGCGGGTTCTCTCAACGGGGCGAGGGAGCTTTGCAGAAGTGGACGTCTGAGCAGACCGTCGGCGGCCGGAAGCAGAACCTCGGCTCTCACAAAACGGTGTGGGAGAGGGCATACACGGTCGCAGTCTGCTGGAAGTTCTACTTCCCGGATATTGACATGCAGGCATACGGCATGAATCCAAACCGTATTAACAAGTGGCGGGAAGACCTCGACTTCACAACGTGGCTTCCAACAGGGGTGTGGAGCGTCATCAATGAACTCCACCTGGACAAACCGGACGGGTGAGTGTTTATGTGATGGACAGTTGCAACTTCTAAACACCCGCGAAGTTCGATGGTTCTGATCTTGCGACACTGGTGTCTTGTGCAGATTCTCACTCGTTCAAACCAACACGGCTCTTCGGCAGCAGCAGGGGGATGGCTTTCAGGTAGCTGCCTGCGCTGGTGTCGGAATAACTGCGTGGCAGAAGATGGTGGGAGGCGTGGAGGGTGAAAACGGCTATTCGACGGAAGAACACGCAATCGGACTTGCCGCCACGTTGTCTGTAATGTGGGCCGCATCCACGAATGTGGACCAGACCCAGTGGGAGACGGGCGCAACAACAGCTGCACGTGGAACTTCTACGGCCATAGCATCTTCTGCAGCCAGATCGTCCACTGCTGCCACCGCCTCATCGGCTGCCACGTCATCTTCTGCGGCCGATGTGCCCTCTGCCGTCCACAATACCCTTGCGACGCTTGCAGCCTCGGTTGCTTGCGTTGCGGTTGAGGCGATGAGGTCGGTAAAGGATCAGGAGCATGACAAGGAAGCGTGGATTCTGCCCCTGTCGGATGCGCTGCTGAAAGCGCTTCCGGCAGAGTCGCGAGCGGCCGAGGATGCGAAGCGGATGACGAGGGTGGTGGCAAAGGTGGTGACCTCTTGGTGCCTATGCAGCATGGCATCAAGAGGCCTTCGCCAGCACCAGGGCGTCTGGCTCGGAGTCCTGCAGAAGAAGTTGGGCGGCCGGGATACCACAACAGGGGCGGATAAGGAGAAGAAAACCAAGAAATCGTCCGCGAAGGGGAACGCGACGAAGGATGCGTCGACGGAGGAGAACACCGGCACTGGCGGCCAGGAGTGATAGAGGCAGACGGGTTCTTTGGAGGTCTTGTTAGTACCGCAGTAGAAAAAGATTTTCCTTTTCGTTTTTTTTTATTTAACCGTGTATAAATATAGGTGTTGTTGTATACAATACAATGAGAGATGTATTTTTGCTATGCAAACCTTCACTACACTAGCAAAATTTGTAGGGCGCGTATGGAGCTAGCAATGCAGCCGATAGAACTCGCCATCAAAGGGAGGGCCAGGCGAATAAAATAATTGACGACAGGACGGCCTTCTACGACACTTAATCTACGTTTAATACTCGGCTTCTACGAGGAGGTAGAAGTATGGGGCTAAACAATCGCATAACATCTTGTCTTAGGGAGCACCTTGTTAAGAACGTATACGGTATTCCTATGCACAGACCTTTCTGCTATGGAGATTGAATTCCTCGACGCCAAATTCTGGAGGCAAATTGGAAACGCCACTATACCGCAGAAAAACCCACGTATTGATAATATCTACCGTCATGGATAGGATCTTCGTTGCTACTAGTAGAATATGACACTCCTTTGCCCAGAAACATATGCTGAGACTGAATAAATCCACGCAAAAGTCTACCGAGTGACCTAAGAACACACATCTACAATCGTGAGAGTGAATTCATCGACGCCGCTCTATAGAATAACATCGTATACGATACGACATGACTCCGCAGAATTTCGCCCGGTGTATACCATCGATGTGTGCTTCATTGCATACACCAGAAAAACATTCTACGAAAAACAGCGCGTCCAGGGAAGAAGGTGGCATACAAGCCCCAAATCGGGCTTCTACAGAGACAGACAAGTGCCTGTAGTGCATATTCAGTACAACCGGAATAAAGTACCCAAATAACTAAACCGCCCCACCCTTAAGGTACATGCCCCCTCATTTCTGCTCCTTGCGTTTCGACGCTTCGCCCTTCGCCTTTTCCCGTTCCGCCTTCTTCGCCGCAGCGGTTCGTTGTTTCTCCTCTTCCGCCTTCTCTTGCGCCATGTGTTCCTTGTGGATCTCCTCCCACTCATCATCACCAAACAGCGAAGTTGCCCACTCCTGGTCGCGAAGGCCCTTCTTGACTAACAGCCAGCCCACTCTGCGTTGCGCCAAGTCGTTGACGGTCCTCTTTTCCGTCGACGAACCGGTCTTCTGTTTCTTGATGGTCGGAGTCTCATGCAGCACAGCCAGGCCGTTGGTGAATTCCGTGAAGTTGCACACGAGTAAAACCTCGTCCAGCAGCTTAATGGCCGTTGCGGTCGCCGCCTCGGAGCTGTCTTTTCTTAGCGTCTCCACGGAAACCATGACACGATGCACGCGACGCATCTTTCGCTCGCATGCACCCACAGCCATCCCGGGCGTACCTTTGACAGCGAACCGGGAATATGCAGTGATGAAGCTGGAATTCTTGTCCTTCTTCTTATACCGGTCGAACTCTGCAAAGACTTCGCGCAATGACCGGCCGCCCATGATGAGGCTTGGCTGCACCCACACTTTCCAGGCAGCAGCAACAGTGGTGGCTTCGCGCCAAGACACAACGACCACGACGAAGAATTCTTCGACGGCAACTGGTGCTTTGGATGCATCCGTTGCCTGGTTTCCTCCTGTTCCCGCGCTCTTCGACGATCCGTCGATCTCTGCAGAGGTGTTTGCCGCGTCATCCCTGGCCGCAACAGACCTCCTGTATGCTTCGAACTCTGCAATGACCCGAGCCTTGTCCTCTCGCTCAGCGGCGAGTTTCTCCCTCAGTTCAGCATTCTCCATCGCCAACTGCATTTCACGTCCTCTCAAAATCCCAAGCTCCTCCCTGAGCATATTGGCGGTGAGGTGCATCTTATGCAGCTTCTCTTCTGCGGTCGTGCGAAAAATAGCGTCCTGCAGAAACCAACACGGCAGAACTCAGCATGAACGAATAACTCCTCTCTACCACTAATAGCAGGCACTTACTGCTTTGGCGGTGGTTTGGCCGGTTGCCCGAAGCTTCTCGCCCTGGAAGTGAGAGATAGCGACCAGGTACGCCCACTTTGGAACAGCGGGTGGTTGCACAAGGGGCTCATCTGCACATATGGATGCCTCTCGCAATTGCACCGCGGGTTTCTCACGCCGTGCTGATGGCAGAACGCCCACATCATAGCCAGATCCTGTGCAACAACGAGGCGTCCGATGCTCGCGAGGGTGTCTAGGAACCTCGCCCCCGCATAGTGCCTCTTCAGCGGATCGGTCTGCGCAGCGTTCCATTCTTCGACCTGACGGGACGAGTATGCAAGAGAAATGGGACGGTTCATAATTGCGTATCAAAATTAAGCTACGAACGCGAAGACTGTACACTAGCACGTACCTTCTTCCAACCCTCTTCGACCCAGGGGAAAATGTGAAGCCTCAAGAGATCCAAGAGCTGCAACCACTCATCCTTCTCCTTAACCTTATGCCGCGGAAGCTTGGCGCGGGCTCTGCCGATGTAGTAGTCTCCACGATCCCCGCTGAATCCTGCCAGCAGCCAAACCGGCTTGAACGGTATGCCGAACACATAACACCTCCGCAACTCCCCCTGCGCCCATCCGCCCAGAGTGCCGATATCGTTGTCGGAGCAACCGTCGTCATGGAGTTGTTGCGCTCCGGATCTGCGGAATGCATGTGTTACCTTGCTCAGAATCCATCTCGCCTTCGTCATGGCCCACTTAATCCAGGTGTTATGCGTTTTGTAGTGCATCTCGTCTTGCTTCTGCTTTCCCTGGTCGCCCTTCTTCAAAGAAAAGAAGAGGTGCGCTTTCGTCCACAAGATCGGTTCAGAAAAGTCGAGAGGCTCGACGATACCGGGGCCGTAGCGCAGAGGAACGAGGTCGTAGATGAAATAAAGCCACAGGAACACATGGCCCATTCCGCAGAGCCGCCAGTCCCTATGCCTTGCAAGAAACTGATGACTCAGCTTGTTGTTGGGGTTGGTCTTCGACTTCCTGGAAACAACGACGAGTATGAAAACGTCTAGATAGTCGTCGAGGTGTGATGTGCTCCGCGTCATGCGGACAAACAGGTTTCCAAGTCGAATCTTTCGAATGCTGCACCCTCTTCCGAGAAATTGGTGTCCGAGGTGCATCATAACCGGGACTTGCAGAGCCTTCCAGAGAGGAAGCGAGATTTGTGACGGAGGCGTCCGCCACCAGATCTCTAGGAGCTCTTTTCGCAGAACAGTAAGATGCAGCGTCCTATACTGGCTTCCCGTATAGCAATCACCAATTGATCCACGGGTTTGATCTCGACCATCCCTGCATAGAATAGCACAGTAATTATGTAAACCATGTACAACAACATTCACACAAACAGAAAGCACACGTATATGTTACTCACGCGACTTGCTCGTCGTTCAGATCCTTCAGCTTGACTTTGAGATAATCCCGAGCATCCTTGATCCAGTCCTTGGTCAGTGTGATGGAGAAGCCGTAGAGCCTCGCCTCGCACCTGGCAAGGCATCCCATTGCGTTCATCTTTGCCTTGATCATTGAAGCCGTGCACCCCTTTGCCTCCTTCCCCACATATTTCTCGATGTCTGGCCGCATTTTTCCACGCAAAAACTTTGCCTGCTCGTCAGTTTCGCAGAAGAGATACTCGATGTATCGGACGAGCCTCCATTCCGTGATTCGCGGCCCGTGCAGATGAATCTGCCACTCGTCAGAGCTGCACGACCACCCATCGTTTCCCAAGTTATTGCTCATATGAAACCCAACATCGTCATGCAGAGAGGGAGCAAGGCTATCTGCCACAGGGACATCTACCATAGTTGCCATGAAGATTATCACCCACCACTTGAAGTGTAGAAAGTGGAAACAATAGTGCCTTCTCGTCCCGGCCTCTATCAGTCGAAGCGGGATTGTTGAACGCCGGATCCTGCTCTCCTTTTCCGCAACGTCGGTCTGCCGCTGCGCATTTCCGGGGGCCGCAGCCTGCTCGACATGGCTCGCAGAATCGGGAGGTCGTCGTCGTCCCGACGATGATTCTCCCTCCTCTTCTGCGTCAGAGTGATCTCCATCCTCCTCGTACCGTTCTTCGGGTGCACCGGGTCGTGGGCGCACTCCATCGCCTCCCGGCCCTTCACTCTCTTCTTCACTCCCCTGGACTTGAATCCGGACGGATGGTTCGTAGAGACCACCCTGAAACAAATCCTCCTCGGTCGCCTCAAACTCGCTATCGTTCTCGCGATCCTGTGCGTAGTCTTGGTCAGTATTTTCAACGTCCTCCAGGTCTTCTTCTCCATCCTCTGCGCCCTGGGCTGCCATGGGGCGAGAGTGGACCGAGCTGTCGGCCATTCACAGATTCCTAATTTATTAGCTAGCAACCGAGACTAGACGAAAGAATCGGATGGTGTCAGCCGCGGTAGGTGGTAACGATTCGCAAGTGTGCAGATAACATAGGCAGAATGCTTAGTGGGCTAAGCGCAGAAGGCGTAAGAGAGTCTGTGCTTCAGACGTCTGCACATTGGTCTTCGAACACCGCCTACAACTTGCGTTTAAATATATCTGCGCCTACAACTTGCGTATACAGGGTCGCTTGACTGTCCCGTACCGTATAGCTCTGTCACACTTTGTTTTACCGCTTTAATTCTCTACAACGAAACAACGAAAATAAGTTCCTACCATTATACGGATATAATCATCTACGGAACCCTTATGCTTGTACATAACTTTCGTGGGTTCGACGATATTATGGATCGGGAGCGAATACTTTTACCGATAAAAGAAGTCTAACGTCGAAGATGTCCGCCTACAAGAGCGGACGACCTACGACAATTGTTCCGGGCAAATACAAACAGTTCTACCGACAAAATATTATACCACACACGTCTGCGCCTACATATGCGACCTAACAAGTACGACTGCAGTTATCCTAACCGGGCTGACCCAAAAAAAAAACCCACTCTATACGACCTACGTCACTATGTCGAGGACGCCAATGTTCTGCCAGTGGGCCAAGCAGGCTTAAAAGATTACGCTGGTGGACTAACAGGTGCTGGATGAAAAGATCTCAAAGAGCTTGCGGAGCATGAAATGCAAATGAAAAGAAGCAAATGAGCACGAAAACATCCATTCATACCCATCCACCACACACAGAAGCCCGTGTCCAGATCTGGTCATCCAACCCTGGGCTGGATGATTCTCCCGCCAAAAAACAACAGTTGGGATATGGTCCTACTAGACGCTAATTGGCTCTTGCAGCCTTGGGACTCTGACAACAACTGTTGCCATGGCCACGTGTGCAGAACACCTACAGTTGGTAAACAATGACTATAAAACACAATGAGCAAACGTAGGATGCTACACTTGTACTCATGTTATTTATAAAACACATAAGATCAAAGGTATAAAGGAACACACGTGCTGCAGCTTTAAGGTGGCAGCAAAAAAAAAAACCGAGTTAAAGCATATAACGACGCAAGGAAGACCAGTTGGTCGCAACCGGCCATGCGACCGGCGGTCGTCACTTGTCGGCCAAAGAGTTACGATGGCGAAAAATGTCATTCGCGACAAACATCACTGGCACAAAGGGTCAGGGCAGGTTGGTTGGAACACATTTTTCATGGTCAGGTGGGCGCGGAATTGTGAGCGGCTGGCCGTGTCGTATGCGGCGGAGCCTTGCGCCCAAGCCCTTCGGAGTCCGGAACACACGGATCCAAGGCCTCGGATCATGGGGCAAACGCACTCGGAACTCCGCCACAACGTGGTAAGAGTCCCGTCAGATTTCTTTCGAATTCACATGTGCTGGCGAACAGGGCATAAGATTTTTTTTGTCGACTCTCATCCCACCCCACCATCTTCACTGGCCTGACAGTCTCACTGCGACTCACCGAATTTGCCCATTGTTCGTTCATACCTTCGCCATCATTCTCTGCTCTAATTAAGATACTTTCCATCGTAACCGTCATAGTCGTTACTTTTTCGGGAAAAAAACTCATATATGCTTTCTCGCCGCACCGCATTGCGTTTCTAGCATCCATCCCACCGCCCCGACCCCACCGCGATGGTTACGGACGCGTCTGCGGCGGCGGCGCCCGCGGCGGTGCCGGGCGCGCTGGCGGGGCCGGTGGTGGACGGCGTGAGCGCGCTCGATTGCAGCCCGCAGGGCCTGGCGGCGTTCAGCAGCGGCGCCGCCATCAGCGTCGTCGACCTCGCCAGCATGCAGCTCGTCCACACGCTCGTCGCGCCGCCGCCGCCCCTCGACCGCTCCGGAGGCCTCGCGGGCGGCGTGGCGGAGACGGCAGGCGTGGTGGTGCCGGTGACGGCGGCGCGGTTCAAGCCGGGCGGGCTGGACCGCGACCTGGCGCACCTCTCGAGCCTGCAGCTGGCGGCGGGCGACCGCGCGGGGCGTGTGGCGCTCTGGGAGGTGGTGCGCGAAGAGGTCGACCGCTGGCTGCTGCCCGACCGCGGGGGGTCGGCGGCGGGGGGAGCGGGGGGCGCGGGCGGCAGCGCGGGGGGCGGGGCGGCGGGGTCGGTGGACGTGGTGGAGTGGGTGATGGGGCGGCCGTGGCTGCTGGCCGTGCTGCACGCCAGCTGCGCCGCCGTCGTCTGGGACCTCTCCTCCTCCGCCACCGCCTCCTCCTCGCCCGCCGCGGCCGCCACGGCGACGCCACATGTCATCTGGCGGTACGACGGGTCGGCGTCGCCCACGGGCGAGCTGCTGGTGTCGCTGGCGCTGGACCCCCACGACCCGCGCCGCCTGTGCGTGCACGGCGCGCGGGGGCTCGTGCTCGCGCTGCAGGTCGACCTGGCCGCGCCGGGCAAGGGAGGCGCGGGGGGGAGCGGGGGTAGCGGGGGGAACGGGGGGGGAGTGGGCAAGGAGCGGGGGTTGAGCATCAAAACCACCACGCTGCAGCTGCCCCTGCCAGAGCCCGCCGGCGGGGGAGGGGGAGGGGGAGGCGGGGGTGGAGCATCAGTGGTGGCGTGTGCGTTCGCCCCGCACACGCGCGACCTGCTGTACGCAGTGCTGCCGCGTGACATCGTGTGCTTCGACCTGCACTTCGGGTGCGCCGTGGCGTCGTCCTCCGTGCCGCGCAGCGTGGCTCGGTTGACGCGGCTGCTGCTGCCGCCGTCCAGCGACGTGCTCTACTGCCTCCACGCCGACGGCAAACTCTCCATGTGGCAGCGCCGCCCGTACGCAGGGGGGGGGGAGGGGGGAGCGAGAGGCGGAGCGGGAGTGGGGGGGGGAAGAGAAGGGGGAGGGAGAGCGGGAAGAATGATGAAGGTGGAAAGTGGATGCTGGGGAGATTGGGGGGGAAGAGAGGTGCGGGTTGGTAGCGGTGTTGGTGGAAGGATGAAGGATTGAGAACGGGGCAATGAGCATGGAGGTCGAGCATGGGGGAAGTGAGTGAGGTGGAGGTGATTATCAACAATGCTCAACTGCTCTTCACTTCACCCACTCTTGCTCCTGCCACCGAATCATACTCCCATCACCCCATCACTTCCATCCAACTCCCCTGCACCCAACCGTCCACCCCCCTCACCCCCTTTTCCCCTCCAATCAGAGGCCGCCAGCTGTACATGATCCGCACGGTGGAGCCGCTGGTGCCGCTGCCCGGCAGTGCAGCACCGTCCCCGGGCATCCTGGCGGCCGTGCTGTGGCCGCAGCCGTTCCGCGAGGCGCAGCTGGTGCTGCAGGCCGTGCCCGCCACCACGCCACGCCCCAACGGCAGCCTGGGCGGCGCCGTGGCGGCGGGCGTGAGCTTGCACGGCGTGAGCAGCTGCCAGGTGGTGTGTGTGAGCGACGACAACAAGCTCTGGCACTGGCTCGCCCGCACTGCTCCCGTGCCGCGCGGCCAGGGGGCGCTGGGGGGGCCGGCGGACGGGGAGAAAGGGGATGGTGGGGACGGTGGGGCGAGGGGCGGACGGGGGAGTGGGGGGGCCGGGGGGGGGAGCGGAGAGGGCGGTGGTGGAGAGGGAGCGAGTGCGATGGGTGACGGCGTGGAGGTGGCCATGAAGGTGCGTGCTGTGCGGTGTAGTGCGGTGCAATGCATGTAGCATTGCACAGTGGGTGGGGCAAGGAGGGTGGCGGTGCCTCGCAGCAAGGCAGCAGTGCAAGGAGCCTCAAGCACCCCGCCACGCCATGCCCTCCCGTGCCTCCCTGCCTCTCCACACACGTGCCCCGCATCCCTCCCCCTCCCCCCCCCACCCTCCCCTGTTTGCGTGCACCGTGGCACCAGCTGGAGCTGCTGGGCATGTTCCACGGCTTCTCCTCCGCGCCCACCACGCTCTCCGTGCCTGCACCCTCCCTCTTCTCCTGCGTCCCAGGTGCGTGCCACCCCACCCCACCCAGTGCATGGCTGCACCAACCAGCTGTGTGCGACAAGCCCCACGCTCTGCACGCACCTCCTGCATGCACGCACCTCCTGCATGCACGCACCTCCTGCATGCACGCATTCGCCTGCCATCCACACCAGCTGTCTTTTCTTGCATGTGTGCTGTGCTCCCACCTCTCCACCACCACTCCTTGCCCCGCACCTCACAACCTTGACCCTCGTGTAGCCCGCCATCACTTAGCATATTGTCTGGCCCGCCCCTTTCTTCTTCGTCACCCCCCACATGTCTCGTCCCGCTTCCACCTCACAAGGGCTGAGCACGGCAACGGGGTCGCTGGCAGCAGCGGCGGTGCCGGTGGTGGCGGTGGCAACGCAGGAGGGCGGGGTGGAGCTGGTGGACACGGCCGTGCACGCCATCGCCGCCTCCTTCCTGCTGCACCCCTCCATGGTGCGCGGGGTGCGCTGGCTCGGCAACACCCGCCTCGTCTCCTTCTCCTTCCAAGAGGTGCGTGCACGCATAGAGCAGAGAGGGGGCGTATGGGAAGGGAGTGTAGTGTGGGGGTGTGGGTGAATGTGGGGGTGTGGGTGAGAGTGGAGGTGTGGGTGAGTGTGGGGATGTGGGTGAGTGCAAGGAGGTCTGTATGCTGTGGCTAGTGAGCACATGGGTCAAGTGGCATTCGTCACTTGCCCTGCCTGCACTTAACATCACGCACTGTGTCGCCCCCTGCTCACCGCCCCCGTCGCACATGGCCTTCAGGCGAAGGCGGGGGGGTACGAGAACAGGGTGGTGGTGACGTGCATCCGCAGCGGCGAGTCTCGCCCCTTCCGCCAGCTGCAGCAGCCCGACAAGTCGCCCATGAGGGGCCTCCGCGCCTCACCCTCCGGCAGGTGCCGTCCATCCCACGCTCTGCCACGTCACCCCCACGCTCTGCCACGTCACTCCCACGCTCTGCCACATCACTCCCACGCTCTGCCACATCACTCCCACGCTCTGCCACGTCACTCCCACGCTCTTCCACGGCGCACCCACGCTCTGCCACGTCACTCCCACGCTCTGCCACGTCACTCCCACGTTCTGCCACGGCACCCCCACGCTCTGCCACGTCACTCCCACGCTCTGCCACGTCACTCCCACGCTCTGCCACGTCACTCTCACCCTCTGCCACGGCACCCCCACGCTCTGCCATGTCACTCCCACGCTCTGCCACATCACTCCCACGCTCTGCCACGTCACTCCCACGCTCTGCCACGTCACTCCCACGCTCTGCCACGTCACTCCCACGCTCTGCCACGTCACTCCCACGCTCTGCCACGTCACTCCCACGCTCTGCCACAGCACCCCCACGCTCTGCCACGTCACTCCCACGCTCTGCCACGTCACTCCCACGCTCTGCCATGGCACCCCCACGCTCTGCCACGTCACTCCCACGCTCTGCCACGTCACTCCCACGCTCTGCCACGTCACTCCCACGCTCTGCCACGGCACCCCCACGCTCTGCCACGTCACTCCCACGCTCTGCCACGTCACTCGCACGCTCTGCCACGTCACTCCCACGCTCTGCCACAGCACCCCCACGCTCTGCCACGTCACTCCCACGCTCTGCCACGTCACTCCCACGCTCTGCCACGTCACTCCCACGCTCTGCCACGTCACTCCCACGCTCTGCCACGTCACTCCCACGCTCTGCCACGGCACCCCCACTTTCTGCCACGTCACTCCCAGTCTCTGCCACGCTATGTGGAGAAAGACGCTGGGGGCGTCCTGCGTCTCTGCGTCCGGACGCAGGACGCACGGCCAAATTTTTTTCGGGCTGCCCGATTTTTTTTTTTCCGAGGAGGATGAGGATGAGTGATGCATGTTAGTGTTAGTATGCATGTTAAACCATGATTGGATTATCTGTGACGTTGAGAAATTTGCAACTCACCATCATGCTCTAGTGTTTTGGGGGAAATTTTGTCTTTGGGGAATAATTTTGCAATGAAAGTGGACTACGGTCCCCCCCCCCCCACTTCCCTCTGCCCTATAACAGTTTTTTTAAGCTGCCCGGGGGTTTTTTTTCCCTGCCCGGGCCTGCGTCTTTTGCTGCGTCTTAATGGCTAGAATTCTGCGTCCTGCGTCTGGACGCATGCGTCCAGACGCAGGACGCGTCTTTCTCCACATAGCTGCCACGTCACCCCCACGCTCTGCCACGTCACTCCCACTCTCTGCCACGTCACCCCACGCTCTGCCACGTCACTCCCACGCGCTGCCACGTCACTCCCACGCTCTGCCACGTCACACCCACGCTCTGCCACGCAAGGATCAAAATTACGGTCGTATTTTCGAAATGTTACCGTTTTATACGGTTTCTTATAATAGGCTCCTGTGAAAAATCGATCGTAGAGAAATTTCAAAAATACGACCGTATTTTTGAACCTTGCTGCCACGCCACTCCCACGCTCTGCCACGTCACTCCCACGCTCTGCCACGTCACCCCACTCTCTGCCACGTCACTCCCACTCTCTGCCACGTCACCCCACGCTCTGCCACATCACTCCCACGCGCTGCCACGTCACTCCCACGCTCTGCCACGTCACACCCACGCTCTGCCACGCAAGGATCAAAATTACGGTCGTATTTTCGAAATGTTACCGTTTTATATGGTTTCTTATAATAGGCTCCTGTGAGAAATCGATCGTAGAGAAATTTAAAAAATACGACCGTATTTTTGAACCTTGCTGCCATGCCACTCCCACGCTCTGCCATGTCACTCCCACGCTCTGCCACGTCACTCCCACGCTCTGCCACGTCACTCCCACGCTCTGCCACGTCACCCCCACGCTCTGCCACGTCACCCCCACGCTCTGCCACGCCACTCCCACGCCCTGACACATGGCTCTCGCCTTTCTATGAGGTTGGCACATTTGAAGCGACCATGGATGATTCACATGCTGCTTGCAGCTCACCTGCATTCTTCTTGCACGTTGCTTCTCATGCAACACCAAGTGCGTCCTGCAATCGCCTTCCCTCTCGTCGCGTGTGCGGGTGGTGCATGTGGTCAGGTACCTGCTCATCCTCTTCCGTGACGCGCCAGCTGAAGTGTGGGCCATGACTCGCACACCCCAGATGGTGAGTTCAAACACTCGTTTGCAATGGGATGTTGAGATGAGTCATGATATTGTTTGAAGGAATCGTGTTTGTTCGATTCAGTCTGATTGTTGATGCAGAAGCAGAACCAACCTCTGTGTCCCAATTCCCACCATCTCCCCATCGCAATGTGGCATGTGTGGCTCATCACACTAAACACGCCGTTTTCTTCCCTGTTTCCTTGTTGCATTCTCTCCCAACCCCCGTACAGCTGCGCTCCCTGATGTTGCCCGTCACAGCGATGGAATACTCGTTTGCCACTTTCAAGATTCTCACAACTTTTCTCGTTGCCCCCTCTCGCCCCCTTCCCCCACACCAGCTGCGCTCCCTGGCGCTGCCCTTCACAGTGATGGAGTGGGCGCTGCCGCCCGTGCAGAGCCCCACCACGCTCGACCCACACTCCGCCACACAGCGCCACATGCACGGTGCGCTCATGCGTGCACGGTGAGATCAGCCATGCGTGTACGGTGCGCTCATGCGTGCACGGTGCGGTCATGCGTGCACGGTGAGATCGGCCATGCGTGACTAAATGCGACTCACAATTCTCGTGCTTAATGTGATGTTCCCACTGCAGTACACTACATGCTGCGTTGCTTGCATGCCATGGCGTGTGCATACTAGTGTTTTGAAATGCGGTAGTGCACAGCACATGGTCTTCACCACCACAAATGGCGTCCCTGTAAACACTTGCTTGCCCTAGCACATCCCTTCCCCTCTACTCCTCTGCATTTTTGTAGTCCTCCACACTCACACCATTGTCCCCCTCCCCCCCATCCGCCCACCAGACGACGACTTCCCGGCGTCGCCAACATCAGCGGCGCTGCTGGCCGCCACGCCGCGCTCCGCGTCGGACCCCATCGAGTCCTTCGCCTTCGCCCTCGTCAACGGCTCGCTCGGCGTCTTTGAGCTGCGAGGGAAGCGCGTCCGTGACTTCCGGTGCGTGCCGGTTTTGACATCTTCAGATACTAGCTTTGGTCGGACGGACCCTGTTTTGCCGTTTCCCTGGGACTTCCAGTCCGGAGCACCAAGCCCGGCGTCGCTGTGATGGTCGCTGCTTTCCCCCTGCTATATACATGGCATGGCACATCATCCTCCACTTGCCATCCCTCGCCATGTGAGTCAAGGTCCCCCGCACGCCATGCCTTTCTAACTGCAACCACGTGTGCCTCTCCGCGACTCCACACCCCCCACCCCCTCCCCTGCACACCTCTCGTCTGGCCCGTGCAGGCCCAAGTGGCCGTCAGCATCGTTCGTGGCGGTGGACGTGCTGGTCACAGCCATGGCGTACCGCACCCCCGTCGTCGTGAGTACCACCAGCACAGCACAGCACAGCACAGCACATGATGCCATCACTCAGTCGGCACGCTGCAATGCAATGCACCACCCTATGTGCACAAATGGGGCTTGTGCCACCTTCGCCTCTCATTCCTTTCCCCCTCCCACCCTCTCCCCACCTTCCCACCTCTCCCAACCTTCCCCTCCCACCCTCTCTCCCCATCTCCCCCCCCCAACCTTCCCCTCCCACCCTCTCTCCCCATCTCCCCCCCCCAACCTTCCCCTCCCACCCTCTCTCCCCATCTCCCCCCCCCAACCTTCCCCTCCCACCCTCTCTCCCCATCTCCCCCCCCCCAACCTTCCCCTCCCACCCTCTCTCCCCATCTCCCCCCCCAACCTTCCCCTCCCACCCTCTCTCCCCATCTCCCCCCCCCAACCTCTCCCCGCACCTTCCCCCCCCACCTCCCCCCACGGTGGGCGGCAGGCGCTGGGGGACAAGGCGGGGGTGCTGCGGTGGTGGGACGTGGCGTCGGGGGCAGCAGGCACACACGCACTCAACCGAGGGGCCATCCGACGGCTCAGATTCGCCCCCACGCTCGTGAGCTCGAGCAGCTGCGGTCGGATCGCCGTCATGTTCAACGACTACACCTTCGCCCTCTTTGACCTGGTCAGCCCTCTTTGACCTGGTCAGCGCGCTTATCCTTTGTGTAGGTTATTACATAGCCACATACTTCATGTTTGGGTGTATGTCTGGTGGAATTCACCCAATGTACTGTAGACCAGCTCAGCTTGGGTTGCCCAACTCAGCTAGCTTGCCAGAGCTGCCTGCACACTTGGCCAGTGCCTTACTCCACGACAGCACGGTACCTTGACTTTCCACCCGCTCTCCCATCCGTGCTGCGTCCACCATCTCATCGCTTCCTGCAATGCACAGGACCCTATCCCTGCTTTCGCGTGCAACACAACAGCATCGCCTCCATCCTTGCACGTCCTCCATCACCCCACCCTCGTTCATCCACCATCAACCTTAGCCTGCATTGCAAGAGCCCACAACACCCGCTGAAACCAACCCCGCACAACCCCACCAACACACCCCAAACGCACTTCTGCCCTCTACCCCCTCGTGCAGGACGAGGGAGAGTTTGTACCGGGGGCGATGCCGTCGGAGGCAGCAGCAGCACTGCAGGTGCTGGAGATGGACTGGCTGCCGCTGCAGGGCCCTTCGCCCACAGGGCCCTCTGCCGCCCGCCAGCTGCTGTGCGTGGCGGCTGCTGACGGCACCGTGCGCCTGCTCGACATGGCCACGTGAGGGGGGGGGGGGGTGGGTGGGGGGAAGATGCTGGTCCAGTGGAGGGTCGTGGATGTGGCATGGCATGTGGAATGAGGTGCTGTGGTGAGGAGCATGCGGTCAACGCTTGCCATGGGCGCAGTATCCATTGCCCTTCTTTCATCTCTCTCCACCCGCTAACCATTCCAGATTGCCCCTCCCCCCATTGCCTGTCATCGCCCTCCCCTCAACAACCGTCGCCATGCCACGCCCATACCCCCCCAGCAACGCGCCGTTGAAGCAGCCGTTCTACCGCCCGCCCGCCTCGCGCCTGGCGGTGTGGTACCGCTTCCGCCCCTCGCCGCTCTGCTCCGTCGCCCTCATGCCCGCGCCCTGCGCTCTGGTGCGTGCTGCCCTGCGCTCTGGTGCGTGCTGCCCTGCGCTCTGGTGCGTGCTGCCCTGCGCTCTGGTGCGTGCTGCCCTGCGCTCTGGTGCGTGCTGCCCTGCGCTCTGGTGCGTGCTGCCCTGCGCTCTGGTGCGTGCTGCCCTGCGCTCTGGTGCGCGCTGCCCTGCGCTCTGGTGCGTGCTGCCCTGCGCTCTGGTGCGTTCTGCCCTGCGCTCTGGTGCGTGCTGCCCTGTGCTCTGGTGCGTGCTGCCCTGCGCTCTGGTGCGTGCTGCCCTGCGCTCTGGTGCGTGCTGCCCTGTGCTCTGGTGCGTGCTGCCCTGCGCTCTGGTGCGTGCTGCCCTGCGCTCTGGTGCGTGCTGCCCTGCGCTCTGGTGCGTGCTGCCCTGCGCTCTGGTGCGTGCTGCCCTGTGCTCTGGTGCGTGCTGCCCTGCGCTCTGGTGCGTGCTGCCCTGCGCTCTGGTGCGTGCTGCCCTGCGCTCTGGTGCGTGCTGCCCTGCGCTCTGGTGCGTGCTGCCCTGCGCTCTGGTGCGTGCTGCGCCCTGCACTGCTGTTTTCCCGCACGCCCTTGCGTAGGATGATGAGGCATGAGGGAACGAACTCCATGCCTGAGAATTTCATGAGGGTACCAATGATGGAAAAGACGCAATGCATGTATGGGGATTGAGAAGAGCGAGAGGTGGGTTAACCCACCCGCCATCATAATGAGATCAGGTGCAACCTGCAATTGACACTGGCCTGATATCTACGGCCTGGATGTCCTGAGGCTGCCATCACGCCTTCCACTGCCCTTCCCCTCGCTCTCCCGCTTCCTTCCACCACCTCGTCCCCTTCTCTTTTGCCTGTCCCCACTTGCCCGTTCGTCCTCCCCCGTGCATGCGTGCACGTGCCAGGCGTTGCGCCTGCTGCTGCAGATGGGCATGCAGCCCGCATGGCTGGAGGCACCACTGCCCGCGGGCGCCCAGGGGGATGGGGGCGAGCTGGGCGAGGGGCAGGGCGAGGGGGACGAGGCGGCGGGCAAGGAGGGCAGGGCACGGGGCGATCTGCTGGCGTACGTGCTGCACCGCGGGCAGCTGGCGGGTGGGGTGGGCGACCCCGCCATGGCGGAGGTGCTGCTCAAGGGGCTGCAGCCCATGCGCATGGCAGGTAGGCGGCACGTGGGCGGCAAGAGTATCGCAGGTGGGTGGCAAGTGGATGAGGTGAGTGGCAGGAGGGTTCTCCGTTCTGAACTTGGAAACGGCATCGAGAGTAACGCTGATGTCACACATGGCTTAGGATGCATGTGCCTCATCTCATCCCACCATCCACCATCTCATCGCACCATCCACTCCGCCCGCCCATGGACCACCGCGCATCACCCACGGCAGGGCAGCTGATGGGGGTGGAGGCGGCGAGGGCGTACAGCAAGGTGTGGGGGGGCGGGGTGGCGGCGCGCTGTGCGTGTGTGGCGGCGCACTACGGGGACATTCAAGAGGCGCACTTCTGGCTGCTGCTGCCGCATGCCCTGCGCCTCCTCGCCCAGGTCTGTCCTCACCTCTCTGCCCTCCTCGCCCAGACCTTTCCTCACCTCTTTGCCCTCCTCGCCCAGGTCTGACCTCACCTCTCTGCCCTCCTCGCCCATGCCTGTCCTCACCTCTCTGCCCTCCTCGCCCAGCTCGATGCGCCTGCCCCCTCCATCGCGCTCCCCCCTTCCACCGCACCGCACCGCACTGCATGAACGGGTTGTTGCAAGGCCAGCGGAACTGCCAGTACTCATGTATTGATGCGCCCCATCCACCTCTGCACTGCCACTCTCACGCGCTCTGCCTCCCCGCTGCCTCCCCTCGCCTCCCAACCGTCACCTCTCAAGCGTCCCCCCTGTGCTCGTTCATGCGAAGATAACTACTACAACGGGAGTTAGACTACGAGGTAGGCACGGATGCTCGTGTGGTCTCTGCGCTCGTTCTTCTTTAGTCGTTTTCCTAGTGCATACACTGCTTGCTAGTTCACGGTGCAATTTGGCAAGAGTTTCACAAGAGAAAATTGACAACAATGATACAAAGAAGTTGGCACTACATCAGAGCTAGCAGTCAGGTCGGTCGACTGCCAGCCCAGCATTGTCGACCGCGTTCCAGCACAACTTGGTCGACCGCGCTCCAGCAGTGCAAAGTCGACGGCGTGCCATCGCAGCAGGTCTACGGCGTGCCAGCGTAGCTCCCGCAGTACAGCATCGCACCAGCTTCATAGGTGCTCGCAGATGATTGGCGTGCTGAGCCTTGTCACCTGGACAGCGCACACAACAAGTCAGCCTGGCGCTGACGAGTGCATCTGATCAGCCACGTCGACCTCGGGATATCACCACCGAGGTCGGACTCGCAAACTTCGCCTAAGCGACCGTCGCACTCTTCCGCAGAACCTCGTCACCCAGGTAACATGGTCGACCGGGCAACCACGTCGACCAGCTGCTCCTGCATGTGCCCGTCGACCTCCCAAGTCGACGACCACCCCAAGTCGACCTGACGAGGCCGACCACACCCCTGGTCGACCAGCTCCACGTCGACCAGGGCGGTTGTCAGCCGACCACCCAAGTCGGTTACCCGAAGTCGGCGTCACCAAAGTTGACGCCGTGCTACTCGACGCCCAGCTGCTCGGCGTCCTGAGTTGTGGTCGACGTCGGCCCCTCCTCCGTCGACCACCAAGTCAGGTCGACCACCAGGTCGACATCTCGCCTGGTCGACCTACCACCAAGTCGACCAGCAGGCCTGGTCGACTAACCACCAGGTCGACCAGCAGTCCTGTCAGCCGACCACCCAAGTCGGCTGCCCCAATTTGGCGTCACCAAGTCGACGCCCTCCGCAGGTCAACTTCCCAGGTCGACCTCCCTGAAGTCGGCGCCACCCTGAAGTCGGTGCCCGTGTAGTGACCCCGGTGCAAGTCGACCTCCTCGTCAACCAGCTCGCCCACTGCTGCAGGCCGGCTTCTCCCCTCACACCCGACCACGAAGTCGGCTCCACCCAAGCGAGGATGAGGCCAACACACAACTCCCGTCGACAGTCCACTCCCTTCCCTTCCTCCCGAACGCATTGCTCCTCTTCACTTCATCAGTGTCCGTGTCATCTCAGCTTTCTCCCTCTCTCCCCCCATCCCCTGCCCTCCCGACCCCTCTCTCTCTGCGTGCCCCATCCTGCCCGTGTAGGGTTCAGCAGGACCACACGCCTTCTGGCCGCCCGACACTGCCGCTGACGCCACCACCGCCACCACCGCCGACGCTGGTAGTGGTGGTAGCGGTGCTGGTGGCACAGCAGGCCCGAGTGGTGACGAGGCGGAGAGAGAGGCAGGGGGGAGAGGAGAGGGGGACCAAAGGCAAGACAGCGCAGAGAGTGGGAGGGCTGCTGCAGAAGAAGAAGGAGAAGGGAAGCAGCAGCAGCAGCGGCAGGAGCAGCAGTGGAAGAGAGGCCTCGCCCTTGATGTATGTCAGCCTGCTCAGCTCCCTCTCTCTCTGTCCTACCAGTGTATCCATGTGTTATGCCCTCGTCGTGTTGTCCTGCTCCCCACCCCTTCACACCTGCCCCTGTCTTCGTCACGCCCTCCCTCTCCCTCACTCCCCCCCTCGCCCCAATTTTTTAACAGGCAGCAGCAGGGGCGGGCGGGAAGGGGTACGGGGAGGAGGCGGTGGGGGAGGAGGTGGAGGTGTGGGGGGACGAGATGGGCGTGCGGCGCATGGCACTGGAGCGCATCCACTGGCACAGCCAGGTCACCGGCGCTGATGCTGCCAGCAAGCGCGTGCACGAGTGAGTCTGGCCGTGACTTGTTAGTCCAATCAACACGCACCCCACCACTGGCACAGCCAGGTCGCACGCGCCAATGCCACCAGCAAGAAATTTCACGATGTGAGAACTGAGCTTAGAATCGATACATTAGGTATGGGCTTGAATCTCCTTAACTACATCCAAGATGAGTTTGGTATGATGGGGAGGGAATCGGGGGCAATCCCTAGAGGCTGGGGGTAATCCCAAGGCAATCTCGGATTGGTGGTTTGGAGATTGTTTGGAGATCACATTTGGGTTTGGTTAGGATGTGGGTGTACACCCAACCAAACGCAAAGTGCAAACTACACTACACTAGGATATAAAAAGTACAAAAGGTGAGATTTAGGGCTAACACATAAGTGCGTAAGACGGGAGCAGTGTGAATGAGGGAGCATGGCAGTGAGTCAACACATGTGCGGTCACTGATGAACGGGGCACTTGCTCACCCTGCACGGCCCGCACCCACTTGCCACGGGCCGCATTATACCTTCGCAGACGTTCGTGATGTTTGAAGGCTTCACCTTTTCAGCACGTCACAGCTCGCATTAACTTTCCTTGCATACGCCCAAGTATTCCTTGCCTACCCCCCTCTCCTTATTCCCCCCCCTTCCCTCCGTTCCCCCCGGGTATGTGTGCCCTGGCAGGTTCATCATGGTGGGCGATCTGGAGGCGGCGGTGACGCTGCTGCTGGCCACGCCGTTCGACTCGCCCGCCTTCCACCGCGACGCCCTTCGTGCCGTGGCACTCGCCACTGCTGTTTCGCCCTCCATGCACCACCTGGCTGCCAAGGCAAGCTGCCCTCCATGCACCACCTGGCTGCCAAGGCAAGCTGCCCTCCATGCACCACCTGGCTGCCAAGGCAAGTTGCCCTCCATGCACCACCTGGCTGCCAAGGCAAGCTGCCCTCCATGCACCACCTGGCTGCCAAGGCAAGCTGCCCTCCATGCACCACCTGGCTGCCAAGGCAAGCTGCCCTCCATGCACCACCTGGCTGCCAAGGCAAGCTGCCCTCCATGCACCACCTGGCTGCCAAGGCAAGTTGCCCTCCATGCACCACCTGGCTGCCAAGGCAAGCTGCCCTCCATGCACCACCTGGCTGCCAAGGCAAGCTGCCCTCCATGCACCACCTGGCTGCCAAGGCAAGCTGCCCTCCATGCACCACCTGGCTGCCAAGGCAAGCTGCCCTCCATGCACCACCTGGCTGCCAAGGCAAGCTGCTCTCCATGCACCACCTGGCTGCCAAGGCAAGCTGCCCTTGCTGCGCATGACTGTGATCTCACCCCATTAGCTCTACCCTCTCATTTTTCTCACTTCTCATTCCCCTCTCTCCTCTCATTCCCCTCTCTCCTCTCAGTTCCCTCTCTCCCCATTATCTCTACCCTCTCATTTTTCTCACTTCTCATTCCCCTCTCTCCTCTCATTCCCCTCTCTCCTCTCATTTCCCTCTCTCCTCTCATTTCCCTCTCTCCTCGCATTCCCCTCTCTCCCCTCATTTCCCTCTCTCCTCTCATTCCCCTCTTTCCTCTCATTCCCCTCTCTCCTCTCATTTCCCTCTCTCCTCTCATTTCCCTCTCTCCTCTCATTCCCCTCTACTTCCTCCACCTTCCCTCCACGGCGACGGGGGGCACTGTTGGGATGGGGTGCACGGGTGGCATGGGGGTTGTGTTGTGGGGTGGGGTGGGGTGGGGTGGGGTGGGGTGGGGTGGGATGGCAATGAGCAGGTGGTGGCGACCAACATGGTGCTGGCGGGGGAGCCGCTCACAGCCGTGCACCTGCTCTGCTCCATCGCCCAGTATGCCGACGCCTGCACGCAGGTATGTGTCCACACAGGTATGTGTGTCCGCACAGGTATGTGTGTGTGCACGCGGTTGTGTGCATACAGGTATGGGTGCATGCAGGTATGGGTGCATGCAGGTACAATGGTCGTACTCACTCTCTGATGATGGGGGTTGTCTGCAAAGGAGTCATTTGTCGTCAATTCATCATCATCCTCATCATCCCCATCATCCCACTCATCCCCGCTCATCCCCACCATCCACAATCCTCATCCCCTGTCATCAGCTGCAAGCCATTGGTCGATGGGTTGATGCATCAACACTCGCAGCTTGCCACCTGTCAGGCGCTGATAGGGCCAAGTAAGGTCCCACTGTTTACTCGCTTCTGTTGCACCATCCTTAACCAGCCTTTGCATGCCATCATCATGCCATCATCACGCCATCATCATGCCATCATCATGCCATCATCTCGCCATCATCATGCCATCATCAAGCCATCATCATGCCATCATCACGCCATCATCATGCCATCATCATGCCATCATAATGCCATCATCATGCCATCATCACGCCATCATCATGTTCAATGTGTTTAATTGAACTCGCTGTCACTCTGCATGCCGTCATCATGCCATCATCACGCCATCATCACGCCATCATCATGCCATCATCATGCCATCATCACGCCATCATCATGCCATCATCATGCCATCATCACGCCATCATCATGCCATCATCATGCCATCATCATGCCATCATCATGCCATCATCACGCCATCATCATGCCATCATTCAATGTGTTTAATTGAACACGCTGTCACTCTGCATGCCGTCATCATGCTGCTTACCCAACAGCTTGCCACCGCATGTCCCTACACCCCATGGGCTCGTATGGCACGTCCCCAACCCCATATTCGTGGCATGGCATGTGTCTCACCCCGTGGGCTGGCATGGCACAGGGTGCTGCATCGATGGGCGCAGCACACCCTTAAAAACGAGCATGACCTGTGGCGGTGAGCATGACCTGTGGCGGTGAGCATGACCTGTGGCGGTGAGCATGACCTGTGGCGGTGAGCATGACCTGTGGCGGTGAGCATGACCTGTGGCGGTGAGCATGACCTGTGGCGGTGAGCATGACCTGTGGCGGTGAGCATGACCTGTGGCGGTGAGTGCTGGGTTGTGGTGCTTTAGGCATGACAAAAGGGTGTGTTGTACGAAGAAAAATAATCTCGTGTGATGGGGTGCGGTGATAAATGAAGTATTAAGATCGTGTGGGTGTAATGTGGTGTATCGTCCATGCTACCTCCTCATACCTTTCACATGTTCTGCTGCCTCTGCTCCCTTCCCGACTTCTCTCCTCGAGTGAAACCCACCCTTCTTCACACTTCCACAACACACCCATCTGATTGTCACATACCCCACTCCCCCTTGCCCACTTGCCCCTCCCCTAACGCTCCCCCTTGCCCTCACCGTGCAGTGCGGTGACGCTGTTTGTGGCAGCGGGCAGTCTGACAGCAGCGCTGAGGGCGCTGAGGGAGGCCCACCAGCCCGACACGGCCATGATGCTGCTGCTCGCCTGCCACCACGCCCACGCCCATCTCACACCACCGCCCCGCCGCCTCACTGCCACCACCACCGCACCTGTGGCGATCGGGCGGCACCTTCCGGCCATACCTGCTGGAGAGGCGGATGTGGGCGGGAAGCAGGGCGTGGGAGGTGAAGATGGGAGGGAGGGAGGAGAGGGGGAGGGAGGACGGGAGGTACGGGGGGGACGGGAGGTACGGGGGGGACGGGAGGGAGGGGAGGGAGGGGAGGGATGGAAGGGGGAGGAGGGAGAGGAAGGAGTGGATGGGCCGCTGTGGCTACCGGGTGATTTGAGGACGCACGGGGAGGAGGAGGTGCAGGTGGTGTGTGGGCTCTTCTCTCAGCACCAGCGCTGGCTCGCTCACCTCTGTGCTCCACATGGCTCCGACTGACTCCCTTGTCCGCTCCGCGGCTGCTCATTGAGGTCTTGTCAGCATCACGTCAATTCCGCACCATAATACCGTTTGGCCCCGGATCGTAGCGCATATGCGCTTATAATAAATTCATTTTTGTAAGGGGGGGCGCTTGTAATTGAGTAACAGCCATAAGCGCCGGCGCTTTTACAATGGCAAAAATGAATCTTACTTTTAAGGATACCAGACTGAAGCCCTCAATAAGGCAAATACAACACTGTACCATGCGCGTGGGGTCGTGCATGTAATCACGGCGAAACTTGCCGCGATTCGATTTCCCAACTCACAAAACCTGTCCAGGGGCAACGCACCTGCCAGTGCTGACGCTACCTGCCATGCGGCCCAATCAGGTTGTCATGCGTTGCCAGGCAGGAGCATCTCAGCAGAACCCTCTAGAAGGGGATGGAATCTGACATGCCAGCACAGCATATATGGCACCCCGAACCCTCCTCCGCAGGTTCAGGCAGGGGTGGACTCGTCTCGCATTGACGAGGACCCCGAGCCGCAAACCTGAAGGGGCCCTCTTCGATCTCTCATTTCTTCACCCATTCTTGCTGTTTGCCATCCAGTTTTGTTTTCTCGCCCGCCTGGCTACGGAAGCCATGGCGGAATTCACAGGCACGCATTTTCTCTTCAGGAAAAAACCTACCACTAGGCCCGCGTACTGTGTTACAGCTGAGGGGTGGTATAGCCGTATACCACCATACCCACCAGAGCCACCACATCCCCCTGCGCCTCCTGCGCCGCCTGCTTCTCCGGCGCCTCCTGCGCCTACTGCTCCTCCTGTTCCTCCGTCTCCAGCGTGTCCAGTGTCTCTTCACGTCACCGAAAATCACCCCATGCTCACGCACCTGCTCCGATCGGCGTTCGACAAGTATCTTTCGGAACCGGACTCTAACAAGGGCCCCGATGTGTGGGTACCCGCGCCGACGCCGGCACCACATTGGGGCCAACCAGAAGACTGCACGTGGGACGAATCTGCAGTCGGCGCTGACGACGAAGTGCCTAACGCCGAGGAAGAATGGCGCGCTGAGGGCGACAACGGCGCAGAGGGTGTCACAGAGCCTGACACCGAGGCCGGCACTGAGGCCGGCACCGCTGAGGATGTGTTTCCGGAGGGTGCTCCGGGCGGTGACGACGACGACGGCGTCGAGTACTGGTTACGCGATGGGCTCCCCCAGAAACTTTCGATACCATCTTATCCTCCACATAATCGAAAGCGCCCCCGCCCTTCTTCATAGAACCGTGATGCTCACCCAACCTCTCCCGGGCACAAGGTTAACGAGCACAAGCATCAGGCCTGTACTGCCGCCGAGAAGTTGAAGTGGGTCGCGCAACTGGATGTGGCGGTGTCGATGCGCGCTTTGGCTCGCGAGAGTGGCATCCACCGCAAGTGCCTCACCAACTGGAAGCGTGCTGCGGAATTCCTTAAGGAAGCCTACTATGCCAGGAAGAGCATGCATGGTCGCGGGATGGCGTTGTGGTATCGGTCGATAGAGATAAAGGTGTACGAAAAACTGCTCGACTGGGGCCGCAAGGGAACCGCGGTGTCCGTCGGCCGCCTGCAGGAGTGGTCCTGGGAGTTCATGAAGATACTCTACCCCCTCGTGAAGTGGAAAGGGAGCCAAAGGTGGTCGGACCGGTTCCGGCGGCGGTGGAATCTCAGCGTGCGAATGAAGACGAAGGTTGCCCAGAAAATCGCCGCCCGTAAGAATCACAGTGCTTACGTATGCCTTGTTTTTGCACTTCTTATTTACTAACCGTATCCCTGTGTAGCCGCCCTTTGTACCACCATTTCGCAGATGTCGCGGAGCAGTGCAAGAAGTTTTGGCAATGCGTCTGTGACAAGCGCCGCGAGCGCGACATCAAGACGACGTGGATTATCAACGCCGACCACACGCCACTCTGGCTGGAGATGCCAGCCACCACCATTGTCGATCAAACCAGACTTTGGTCGGTGCCTATCAGAAGTGCGGGGTACCAGAATGAGCGTGTAACCGTGATGTTGGCGTGCACGGTGGACGGGATGAAGCTCAAGTCCCATCTTTTTCAAGCAGAAGGTAGTGCCGAAAGGCATTTATCTGCCAGGTAAGACATGTTATTTTGTTTGTATGCCTGGCTGTGGTTGTTTTTTAATTCAAATCTAACTCTCCCATGTTGGTTGTGCAGATGTGGTCGTGGCATGCCACAAGAACGGGTGGATGGACGCGGAGGGCGTCATTCGATGGCTTGAGGAGTGCGTCAAGCCCTTCTTAAAGCCCGAGTTTGGGAGGCATGCAAGGAGCTCGATGCTCCTACTGGATTCCTACCGCGGTCACCTCATTGAGGGGATGAAGGAGAAATTCCGCGAGCTCAACTGCGTGCCGGCGATCATCCCGTCTGGCTGCACGGCGGAGGTACGGCCCCTCGCCGTCTCCATCAACAAGAGCTTTAAGGCGAGCGTCCGCCAGCAGTACCAGAAGTGGTTTCAGGAAGAGGGCCAACAACACCTGACCAAGCAGGTATGGCAGCCACGCGACTAACCCGTGTGCCCTTCCAGTATCCCCCTTTTGTTGTGCTAACTAGATTCTATCTGGTGATTTTTGTTTGTGCAGGGAACTTGAAGAAGCCGCCCCCAGAAGTGGTTGTCCGGTGGATCTCACGGGCTTGGAAGGCAGTGCCCGCCGATTTCTCAAGCGCGCCTTCCTCACCTGTGGCATCAGCAACGCGCTTGACGGCAGTGAGGACGGGCTCGCCATGGCGCACAGGCGGAGCCAGCTGACAGCGGAAGTGGACGTCAATGATGCTATTATTGCCGATGGCTTCTTTGGCAATAACTGCGAGGAGCCCGAGCCTGACGAGGAGTAGTAGATTCTAGGTAGATAGGCAAAACTGCGAGATGTTTGGTTTGAAATGATGAAATTGTCGGTGCAAATCTTATATTGTTAGACTGGACAGTGTTAGTTGTTAGTTTTTTTTTTTAAGAGACCTCCAGAAACTTTAAAGGGAACGCATATCATAAGTAAAGCCTCCAAAAAGGGGGCGTTTATAATCGAGTTCCGCCCATAAGCGCCATGCTCCAGATAGAAGCGCCGTCGCCCTTAATCGGACGGCGCCTATATCCGGGGCCATACAGTACGGTGGGTTCGTAAATTGGTGAAGGCACCGATAGAGCCTATGGATTTAAGCACTATCAATGTTTACCAACCATCCGTTGCAATGGTGGCTTCAAACTTTGCTTCATACAGTATGTGTGAGAATTGAAACGAGAATGAATCAACTATGAAATGAGTGAGTACAAGTACTAACCCTAATTGGGTTGTACCCCCTATGGGATACCCCACTATAGCCTACACAAATGTATAAGCTATATAGCATTCTGACACACCCCCATAGGCAAAGTGGGGGAGAACAAGGGGTCACAAGACCAGTCAAGTAAAGCAAAGCAAAGCAAGCTCAGGGTGGATCACAAAGTCACCACACAGTCCGAGCACAGGGTCAAGGCCACACGGCCAGTTCACATGCAAGAGTACACACATATATATAAAGCTAGACAAGCAAGAGCAGGTATATATATATGTGAGAGTACAAGCAAGGTCAAGAGGAGAGCAAGTGAGGCAAGACAAGCACAAGACCCAGCTGAGTGCAGAAGCGCTGATGATCACAAGGCGGAAGTGCCTTGGTGAAGACATCAGCAGTGTTGGCCTCAGAGGCCACGTACGCAAGCCGCAACTGTCCACGCTGCTGTAGCTCACGAGCAAGGAAGTAGCGGAGAGCAATGTGCTTTGTTCTGTGCTCCAGTCGCTGCTCTCGACACAAGGCCAGCATGGCCTTGTTGTCTACGTACAGGACTGGAGGAGAACGAGGCGGCTCTCCAAGGTCGGTCAGCAGGTAGGTGAGCCAGCGAAGCTCCTGTGCAGCCATGGCCCCGGCATAGATCTCAGCCTCACAACTGGAGCCAAGAACAGAAGACGAGCGAGTAGCCCGCCACGAAACAGAGCCGGAACCAAGGCTGAAGGTGTAACCCTGTGACGACCGCTGCGTAGCCTGGTCGTCAGCCCAAGAAGCGTCCGCGTGCCCAGTGAGGACCACTGGACTCCGCCCTCCAAGCACTAGCCCCAAGCCCGACGTACTGCACAGGTAGCGCAACACCCTCTTCGCTGCAGCCATGTGCTCTGGTCGGTGTCTCCCAGGAGCAACATAGCGTGCGAGAATGCTAAGAGGGTATGCAAGGTCAGGTCGTGTGCAGGTCATCAGGTACATGAGGCAGCCAACAAGCTCTGGGTATGGGCCACTCGACTCTACGGACTCATCCGAAGGCAGAGCTGAGAGCGAGTGGCGAGTAGACAGAGGAGTGGCCTGAGGCGAGGAGTACGTGAAGCCGAAGCGCTGAAGGACCTGCTGCACCATGTGTGACTGAGTCAGGGTAATGGTGCGGCGTGCTCTGTCCCGGGTGATCTGCAAGCCAAGGTAGCTGCGCAGCTCACCCAGGTCTGTGCACGTGTGTCTCTTCTGCAGTTCAGACTTAACGTAGGCGAGTCCAGCAGTGTCAGCTGTGACAAAGACAAAGTCGTCGACGTACACGAGGATGTAGAACGGCGGCAGAGAGGTGTCGGTGCGCAGAAACAGCGACGGGTCGGCAGTAGAAGGAGCAAACCCAAGAGCCGCAAGCGTAGTCCTCAGTGTGTCGTGCCACTCACGTGGCGCCTGGCGGAGACCGTAGACTGGACGCCGGAGACTCCACTGGGTACCAGGAGGGAAAGACCCAGTGAAGCCAGGTGGGCGACGCAGCCAGATCTCCTCGTGCAGGCTGCCCTGCAAGAAAGCTGTGCTGAAGTCAAGAGAGTGCAGCTCGTAGTCACGGTGAGCAACAACGTGCAGCAGTACCCGAAGAGTGGTCATCTTCGGGGTGGGGGAGAAGGTCTGAAAGTAGTCAACTCCCTGCCGCTGACTGAAGCCACGAGCCAAGTAACGCGCCTTGAAGACAGGCGGAGAGCCCG